GCCCAGATCAGCAGGAGCACCGGCACGAAGGAGCTGGGATGTGTCTCCAGCCAAGCTAGAGAGCTGTAGCAAGGCTGTGCCATCTATCCTCCCGGGTTGCTATGCCAACGAAGAGGAGACAAGAACTGATTTAATTTGCAGAATCACCCTCTTGACACAAAATCCAAGCAGCTTGTGAGGAGTAGGGTGAAAGATGTCAAGGGAGCAGGGAGAGATTCTTTGTGCCTCTCTGCATCCGGTGTGTGGCTGTGTTTCATTTCCCAGAAAGGTCTCTGACACCTCTGCTGTAAACACAGCAGACACACAGCCAGACACAAGACCACAGGAAGGTGACCTGGCTACTCTTTGGAAAGCAGCTGGGAACCCAACTGGGTACCTCAGTACAAAATGCTTGCTGGTTTGATATGGCATGGCTGGGTCACAAGTAGGAAGCTCTGTCCCAAGAGATGCAAATGCCTTCATCTCAGATATTCCTCCCATGGAATGAGAGAGCCAGACACAAGACCACAGGAAGGTGACCTGGCTACTCTTTGGAAAGCAGCTGGGAACCCAACTGGGTACCTCAGTACAAAATGCTTGCTGGTTTGATATGGCATGGCTGGGTCACAAGTAGGAAGCTCTGTCCCAAGAGATGCAAATGCCTTCATCTCAGATATTCCTCCCATGGAATGAGAAGGGGGAAAGAAATGGTAGAAATTGTAAAGTCATTTCTGCTCTTCACCCTCTGATTTTCATACATGACACCAGATGGGTCTGTGGATCATGAAGACTCTGCATCATTCCTCCCTGACCAGCTTCTGTCTGGACTTGCAGCCCAAGGAGGGTCTTTCCCTGGAGAGATGTCCAAAGATAAAGGCCAGAAATGACTGTCTCTGCTGCATGTCTTGCTCAGGGGCTGATAGTGTGTACGTAGCATGATACATGGTGTCTGACCTTCCCTGGAGCCCTCCAGGTTTGCCTTTCTGTCTGCTTATCATGCAAACTGACACTGGAAACCCAAAGAGCTCCATGCTGTGCTGCCGGGAGCAGGGCACACCCCAGTGTTGTTCCATGGTCATAATCACCTGAGGAGAAGGGTGTGGGGCTTCCTGTGCCAAGTTTTCTTGGCCTAGCTGAGGGTCTCCACATGCAATGAAGTCATAGATGTAAAAAAGAATAATTATTGTTTCCTTAAACATCCCATGGTGATGTCCCGTCTTTCTCTGCTCCACCTGTCTTCTCCATCTCTGTGCATTTGCCATCCTGTGCACCCTGCTCTAACCCAAGCTAAAAGCTCATTAGTCACCCCGCCATCAGACGTTTTCAGTGTGCTCAGCAAGGGCCAGGCTCCTGCCTGTGGTTCTTCCATGCCAGTGTGATGGATGTGATAAACAAGAGTAACAGTGGACACAGTGTCCTTAACAACAGCACAACATTTAATTCTGTGTTCCTGCTTCAGCCTCTGGTGTGAAATCTGAAGAAATATAGATTGCTCTTGGAAGGGGTTTTAGAGTTTTCACAGCAGTCTGGAGCACCCAGGATCACAGGATCCGGCCAGATTATCTCAGCATTGGACTGCCATCATCACCAATCAATATCCCAAATTACTTCTTCACACTGAAGGTGCTTTGCTAATTTTCATGGATCCCCTGTGTTTCATGCCCTTGGTGTCCTGTCATGCACTGATAGTTTTAGTCCACAAGCTAGAGTGCAATATGCTTATGAGTAATAGCATCTTATTGGAGTGTAAAGATCTTCCTATTTCACTGATTTATCCTGCACTTAAACTAATTCAAAATTCACTTACTTCAAAAGTACTGGAAGCAAAATGCTCTCTGTAAATAGCCTAGCTTTTTTCTAAACTGATATCGCTGAAAGGGAAGATGGAATAACTTGCACTATCTATTTTCTCTTGGAGGTAGCATCACTGTATTATTTTGACTGTTTTCCATAACGAGGGCCATAGTTGATTCTTCTCTGTAAAAGAGGCTCATGGGCTGGCAAGGACTATTTGACCTTTATATCTGAGTCTTTAGAAACTCAGCTCAGATGGATCTGAAGTTTGTTTAAGCAGCTAGTTAGGCAGCCACTTTATTTTCAGTTCACTGCACAGTGGATTTCTGAATCACAAAATGCCAGATATCCAAACCCAGTCCCCTTGCATTGGCGTTGCGGGGTTTCTTTGCTTTTCTTTTCCTCAAACGCTTCAGATTCTCTTTCAAGTTTATGAGCTGTCACTTCTCACATGATGGAAGAAAAACTGAACCCAGCCAGGACCAGTCACACTGCTCGGCTGTGAGAGAAAGCTGCACAGCTGGAAAGGTGGAAATAGGCAACAAGGCAGGGCATGCAAAGGCAAGTGCCAGTCACCAGCACAGCTCCTGCATCCACAGAATGGGGGTGAGGAGAGGAGCAGGAAATCCTTGCAGCAAAATGGCCCAATGATCCCCATGTAGGCATTTCCAGCTCCAACCTCCACCCATTCCCTGCTGTGTCCCTGGTGGGAGGCAGCAGCCTTTCCTTCTTGGTTACTGCCTCAGTCTGGAACCAGCCCAGGAGCACCCTAAATCTACCCTCTAGGTTTAAGAGGTCCTGAGAGTTGGGCTAGTGCCACAGCAAGGGCAGCACTGGACCACGCTGGCCATCTCCTTAGCAGTTCTTGGAGGAAAGGCCAGAGGCACGGGTGGGTGACGTGCTGCTGGAGGCAGGCATCATGTGCTGCTGGAGGCAGGCATCATGTGCTGCTGGAGGCAGGCATCATGTGCTGCTGGAGGCAGGCATCATGTGCTGCTGGAGGCAGGCATCATGTGCTGCTGGAGGCAGGCATCATGTGCTGCCAGCCTGCTCCTGCCACTCTGCTCCTGGGGGTACCCAGGGATCGCCACGTCCCAGCCAGGCCAAATCCTGGTGTTCCAAGCTGGCAGCAAGGGAGAAGAAGGTACAAAGAACATGGTCATAATGCAGCAACCCAGGAGATGCGAGTGCAGCCCTGCTGTGGTTCCTGACAGCCTCAAGAAGAGGTGATTTGGGCTATTTCCCTGTGGACTGTGCGCTTTATCTGCAGATAATGCCCTATCATGACACACAGTGATACAAGCTCACAAAAGTCATTCACTTGGCACACTGCAGGGGTTTTCTGCTCCCAAATGAAGCCAAATGTTTTACATGAGTCATTTCTACCTAGAAATTGCACCTACAGCTGGACTAAATTACAGGTTGAATACATTTACTCAATTCTAGCACAGCAGAGGACAAGCTCAGATTGCAAAATTTATCCGAGAGGGTTGCATGCCAATTGGTGAATGGGTGACAAGCACCCATTTTGTTTCCTGGTTCTTTTTTCTTAACCCCTTGATGTTCTGTACTCCAGGGCAGGACTGCTCCATCACTTGCAGTTATGGGGTGTGAATTGTCACTGCACCACAGCGGGCTCCCGGGACGTCTCAGGCTGTGTCTGTGGTGCTGCTGGCCAGACAAGGCTCTGATCCCATGATGGCAGGTACCAGATTATGATGATGAAACAACAGACAGGTTTGTAAAATTTAATATCGCCACAATATTACTAACATGAGAGAACAAGAATTTCTCATTTTGGATAGAGAAGAAATGACTTCAGACTAAATGCCATCCCAGGCTACATTAACTGCTGTCTCGCTCAGAGCCCGCTGTCTTCTAGTTGGTCATATAAGGCATGGAGCATAGTTCATTTCCCCACTTGAAATTCAGGTAGTATTTGCATCACAGCAATTAGGGATACATCAGCAGAGGTTTCTTTTTCTAGACTATAGAAGATACCAGAACCAAAGGCAGCAGATGTGGTATCAAAATCTAGTAAATGAATAGTCATGATCCCTTATTAATCCTATTTTAATTCAAAGTAAAATAATTCAAAATCATAAAATAAAGAGTCCCTAAGCAGTCAAGAGAGCAGAGCCCCGCAGAGTAGGTGGCATGGGTGTTTCTGAAGAATAAATCTTAGTGGGAACACGCTGGGTACCTCGTTACCAGGCAGAGAGTGATAAATTAGGCAGCTCACAGAAGAGCTACAGAAATGATGAGGGAGGTGGAGGATCCATCTAATGAGCAGAGATTAAATTACTGAAATTGGCAGGGCTTGGCTGAGTGGCAAGTGAGGAGGGGAGGAGGAACTGTGCAGGGAATGGAAAGGATGAGTAAGAAGAGGGATGATTTACGAAGACTCACACCGGGCAGTGCTCCTGCCAGCAAAGGGCAGTAGATCATGGGCAGGGCCTGGGAAGTCTCATTGCTGCATCTCTGTAAAACCTGATGCTGATTTGTGGGGGGGCAACTCTGTACCAAGGCAGTAGGGTGAAAGCCCTCCCGGCTGAGCACCCAGCTACAGCCAGCGCTGAGGATAGCAGCACCGAGCAGCAGATGCCATGAGGTGTGTGTGGTTATCCCACACTGTGAGGTCAAAAACATCAGGTACCCAGCTGTGTCTGGGGCAATGCCAGGGAACCGCGGGTTATGATGCAGAATCAGGTTCTGATGCCAGTACAGGTTTGTCAGCTCTAACAGTTTAAACTGGCAAGCATTGCTGTCTACCAGAAGGTCTTCCATAGAGAAGGGATGGAGTGGGGTGACAGTGCCTCTGCTCCATGGCGCAAGAATCAGTGTGTGATGGAGAGGGAAAGGGAGAAAATCTCGGCTGGTTGGGCTCCGGGCTGGGGCTCAGGGGGTGCTGCACCCACTGGACACCCGGCTGCAGAGGCTGGGCTGGCCATTCCCTCTCCAGGCAGCCTATCTGATTGCTATGGTAACACATGAGGAGCACCTCAGAGCACAGCATGAGCCAGCTGCCCAAGGTAGAGCTGGGAGGCTGGCACGACTGTGCTGATTCAATGGCATCTTGCCATAGACCGTTGTCTCTGGCCTGTGAGCAAGCACAGGAGATGTCCTGCATCAGAGGGGGTGGTGCTGTGCAAGGCTGCAGCACAGTGGCCCAGCACACTGCTTGGGCAACCAAGCTGCCCAGCCAGTGTGTTCTTCTGCAGTGGACCATGCAGCTGGTGAAGGGCGTTTTAGAAAGCACAGTGTACGTTGGCAAAACAAGTCTAATCTGGCCTCCTGATGCAAAGCTGGCAGCAGGCTGTGCTGTAGATGAACCTTATCCAAAGCCCTGGGGTCTGTGTTGTTTGGTAGGTATGTCCCACTCCTTCCCAGTTCAGGATTTGTCCCTGTAGAGACTCTTCCAATGAACACCAAGTGAGCAGGGCACCAGCAGCATCAATGTGGGGGTTTAGATGGCAAGATGGAAAGGCCAGAAGGTGTCCTGGCTGTCCTGCTAATCTCTCATCCTCGGCTGGCTTGCTGCATGATGTCACGATGGCTCAGCATGAGCTCACTGCAGCCAGAAGTGTTGCAGTCCACATCGGCTTCAGGAAATGTCCGAGCTTTGGTCACAGCTGCCCTGTCCTCAGAGCATCAGTGTTGGCAGCCGGGGCCAGGTCTCTGTGTGATGCGCTGCCAACCTCTGTGAACCTCCAGCCCTGAGCACCGAGACAGAGCGGGGCTACGCTGTGCCTGCACCAGGGCTGGGATGTGGACAATGTGCCTTCCAAGACTGGGATCAAAGCCACTGTGTGATCACAGGTGGACCTTTTCCTCCCTCCCTGCCTCTGTTTCTCCTCTGTAGCCAAGCAATGATGTACTCAGCCACATTGCAAATAGGAGACAGCTTCTCTGCGACTGCTGCCTTCCCCTTTCCTACCATCACTGCTTTAGCACAGGGTGGAGAGAGCCAGCTAACACTGTGTTCAGCGTGGCTTTGCCGTGTCATCCTGTCGTCCGATCAGCAAAGGGCTTCCTTTGCAAGCCCTGGTCCTCATTCTGCAAGAGCTGAGATTAGAAGAGGAGATTATCCCTGATAATGTGCAGATAGAGCCACTCACCCACTTACACTGAGTAAATACATGACAGATGGGATAGGTCCCACAATACCCTTCCTACAGGGAGAACAGCCTGCTCCTGTGCTTATCAGTGAGATGGAGGGCAGCTGTAAGGGGAACTGAGGCTTCAGTCCTGGGCAATAAATGGGGCTTGCAGAGTAGGAGCAGGTTGCTCAGGAGCAGCAGGAGGTTTGATCTTCTGGCCACAGCAAAGCATGACCTCAATGTGCAGCCCCCCCCTTAATGGGATACTCATCAGGCTGAGCCCTGTGTAGCCTCTGGGGGATACACGTGTCTTCAGGTGCCAGCAGCCCTAGGCTGGGATGGCCACAAGCGTGGTGGCTGCAGCCTTTGTGTTTCTCTATCCACATCTCCTGTGGACAGGCTCCTCCTGAAGGAGAAGCAAGTCTGGCTCTTCCCGTGGTGCCACATGGATCCAGGACAACAGCAAGCTGCTTGTAAGCAAAAGCAAGGGGGACGAGGGAGAGCCCCAGCACCACAAGCACGGGAAGGATTAGAGGGAGCAGATATGTAATTCAGGTATTCACCAATGGAATTCAATCTGGCTTTGATCTTTTCGCAGGTTTCCTAAGGGCTGAGTTATCAAAAAAGTCCCAGCAGAAGCCCCTCCTTCCCCCAGCATTTGCCACAACCTCTCTGATTGCTCATGCAGTTGGAGCCAGGGGCCTTTATAATCTTCAGCCATGCAGACCTTACAGAAATAGGCTTTAGGGGCTGGTGGGACCTTGAGGGACCATCTAGTTTGTTCCTATGCCTGTGTCACCTGTGACTGTGTCCTGGTTTCAGCTGGGATGGAGTTAATTTTCCTCCTAGTCACTGGTATCGTGCTGTGTTTTGAATTTGGTGTGAGAATAACGTTGAGAACACTGATGTTTTAGGTATTGTTAAGTAGTGCTTATACTAAGTCAAGGACTTCTCAGCTTTCCATGCTTTGCCAACAAGGAGGTGCTTAAGAAGCTGGGAGGGGACACAGCCAGGAGAGTTGACTCAAACTGGTGGAAGGGGTATGCCATACCATAGGACATCATGCTCAGTGTATAAAGTGGGCAGTTGCCCTGGGGTCAGGGTGGGGGTGGTCGCTGCTTGGGGATGGGCTGGACATTGGTCAGTGGGTGGTGAGCAATTACAGTGTGCATCACTTTTTTTTTCATGTTCTATCATTATTCTTATTATTATTGTTGTGTTATTATCATTATCTCCTCATTTGCTGTCCTGTTAAACTCTCTTGATCTCAACCCATGAGTTTTGCTTTTTTCCCCTTCTCCTCCTCATCCCACTGGGAAGGGAGGTGGTGAGTGAGCAGCTGCGGGGTGTTTAGTTGCCAGCTGGGGTTAAACCATGGCAGACTGCCCCTCGTCTAACCCCTTCTATTTCCTCTGCCAGCATGCACCTCTCAGACTGAATGGCTTTCCCTCTGGCTACGTTCGTTTTCAGGACTATTCACTGTATAAATCATGTACCACAACATATTTGTGGCACATACACTTTTCCAAGTCTAAGAGCTGTTCCCTTTTTTTTATAGCAACTGTGAACAATAGATCAGTGAAACAGGGGGGTTGTTTTCTGAGCTGCTTGTCTAGAGATGCTCTTCTTTCACCTTTTGTTAATTTTAGGCAAAGAAGATGGACCTAGGTTCCCAGGCTGTATAGTTTAGATCACAGGAGCCACTACTAAAAGCCATCAGAACAAACACTTATTCTAAACCTGAAGGTGTTTGCATGAAGGGGAAAATGCTTTGACAGTGTGGAATGCCACTGCAAAACATCTTGAGTGCCTTCCTGGACTAGAGTTTAAATGTCATTGTGTTTTTACTGTTTGTTTTCTATTCAGTATATATTTACAAACTTCATTCATTCCCTGAAGGGGGTAGAGCACCGTGTGAATTAATCTATCTTTTTTCAAGGTGTTTCAGTGCTTCTGATGACAAGTAAATAATGAGGAGGAATTATGGGAGGTTAACCTCCAAAGTTTTCTGAAAAATGTATTTCTAGTGTTTGTAAAAATCAGGAAATAAAGGTGGCAATCTCTGGAATCTAACTTCTTAGCAGAAGCAGTAAGTGGGATAGCAGCATGTAAAGATTCACAAGCCAGAGACTCTCCTGGAGGGACTGCACCCCTGGCTTATGGCTTGGTCTAGTAGGACCCTTTCTTTTAAAAGACTTCCAGCCTCAGTGTAAAGTCACAAATTATTACAAAAGGAAATTACTGTCCCTGTTGAAATACACACTTTTCATTTCACTCAAATGTGTCTAATTCCAGTTTCCCATCAAAGGGTCTTGTTAAGCCTTTGATAGATTAACGAGCCCTTTCCTGTCAGAGGTCTTCTTCTCAGATTGGTGCTTGTGAATCACAACAGGAGCGTAGAACTGGAAGAGACAGCTTGGGCCATCAAATCCCATTTCCCTGCAATTGCTGGCAACCATGTTATAAAGTCCATTTCAAACTCAATCTTAAAACTAATTGCGTGCCTTGCCCCCAATATTCCTCTCAGGAATCTGTTCCAGAACAACATTTCTCCACAGTTAGAAACCATCTGATTTCTAGCCAAAATGTATTTGTGCCAATTCATACCTCTCTGGTTTTGTGCCAGCACTGTCTGTTATCTGAGGCCATTTTCCTCCTTCCTTGGTGCTCATCTTCTTGTGCTTTTAGAGAACAGGGGTACACTCCTCAGCCCCCCTCTCACTTGGCTAAATATGCACAGGTCTCCTCAGATGGTCTTTTCAGTCTGGAAGTTGTCCTTGGGGTCTGGCTGTGCCACTGTTCCTCTCCCTGTTTATGTTCCTGGAACAGAGGTGATGAGAATGGTGAATATTCCCAAGTCTAAAAAGCAAATGAGCCAACCCTCACCCATCCCTGCCTTAAAGCAGAGTTCTCCTTCCCCTTCACAAGCCACCTGAGGGGAGACTGCTCCATGGCTGCCCACTACAGAGTTCCTCCACCTTTCTCCAAAGCAACTGGCCTTTATCTCTGCCAAAATCTGGTGAGCAGACTAAAAGATCCACCAGACTGACCTGTCCTGGCAATTGCCACATGTGGCTAGCAACACCAGTTGGTCTCTCTAGACTGGACACTTACTGAATGCTTGAGAAGCTCTCTTACTGCTAATTAATGCGACTAGAAGTGTGCAGGTATGCAGTGTAAATACATAAGCCTTTAAAAGCAAAACTGTCAAATAAAGTGTTACACTCCATCAGCTCCTATTGCATCCACTGGCTGAACACCACCAGACGCTTGGATAACACTCAGATCTGCTCATGGATGCGTTTGACATCCATGCAGGAGAAATACACATTCTATGATGAATAAAAAGAGTCAGAGCCCAGGCAGCAGGCATTTAAGGCTAACCCATTTGTTTTAGGGGGCTTTACATTCTGGTTGTAAAATTTCCTCTGGGCTGGAAGCTGGTGCCCGAGAAGAAATGGTCTTTCCGTTATGTATGATTTGCCTGCAAATCCTATTAGTCTTCTGTGCAGCACATCACAGGAGAAGAGACACGAGGATGTCAAACCAGGGCATTTTGCTAAGCACTGTGGTTTAGTTGTGTGCTCAGTATAAGAAAGACCAAAGCACTGCAACTCTTCATTAAATGGTGTCTATTTTGAGGTTTATCTTATATTTTTGGAATTGAAAACCATATTTTTTTTTTGTATGTGTGATATTGTGAAACTCAAGAGCAGGCTTTTTGACACCAGCAGACTCTCTGTGGGTTCTCCAATTTGGAATAAATGTACCTCCATATATAAGGAGGACTCATGTCTCCCAAGGCAGATCTATACATAATATAAAAGTTATGTGAAAGGACATAGATATGAGCTAAGCAGAGCAGCAGAGTGAGCCCACTCTGCTCAGGGTTTCCTGAGAACATTGATCTGTCCTCAGTCCTGCAGCATGTGCTCTGCCACACAATGACCTGTACTGCACCTACTCAGGATTTTCATTTAAGGTTCGATTCTGATTGCTAAATCTGAAGCAACCTTTCTGTGGGCTCAACCTGTCCAGGGCAGGGGCCACGTGCCTCCCTCGTGGGCTCTGCAGAGCTCTAGGGGACACCACAGGCCAAGTGCCTGCTGCCTGGGCAGGGACCCTGCAGCCTCCTTTGAGCTCCAGGGTAGGACGCTGTGAGTGAGGGATGCAAGGCTTCGCTTCTGTCAGTTTGAGTTAGTCCCTTAACAGTCACATTACCGTAATGCAGTTGAAAAGGAATCCACGAGTTACAGGAAATGATTTACAGGACACAAGACACTGCATTTCAGAGGTCTCATGTGTACCATAAAAAATATATTATGAAGGAATAATCTCTATCGGAACTGGAGCTGCACAGAGAGAACACATGTCCAGCTGAGAGCAGCATTGAGCTTTTGTTCATTATGGGAAAAGTCTACGCTCTTCCTACTTTTTCAATGAATATTTTTCTCAGCTCTGGGTATCTAATTAATATTGGCAATTTTTTTTTTTTTTTCAGATGTTGCTTTTGCCATGAGACCAAGCATAGCTGAGACTCAAATGGCATGTTGCTCTGAGGTATTCCCTGCTGAGCTTCACACAGTAATAGCAAGATTTGGAGCAATCCCTGGACTTCCCCTGTAAAATCTAGGCCATGGCTCGTCAGCTGGGGGAGCATGAGGGAGCTCCACCAGCTCTCTTCCATCCAGCCCTTGCCTAGAGCACCTTTGTGCGGTGGGATGCACAGCTCTGCAGTTTCCCAAAGTGGAGGCTGGTGGAGAAGAATCACTGCCTCCAAATGGTCCTCCTACTTGTAGGCAGGATGAGGTCTCATTGCCACGTGAAATGTTCTCTGTACTTTTCCAACACTTGCTCAGAAGCCCAGCTGTGGCCCTCATATGTGTTGACATGCAGCTGCTCTGCAGCTTTTGACTCCTGGATCAGGTGCTGGCTCTTTGGGTGATCTGCAGCATTCAGCTGACGCTGGTAATTTGGAGGTTCAGGTGCAACAGATTAGACTGCTGCTCATTCACCTGTGAGGGCTTTAGCAAATGACTGCGTTCCTCAATTTAACCCTGTGCCATGGTGATATCAGCACTGTTCTGCTGAGGAGGACCATTATGTCCAGGATGCCAGAAGCTGTGATGTGCTCCAATGCCACAGGGCAATATCTACAAGGAAGAGACTGCTGGGGGACCTCAGAATGAGTGAAAGGACAAATGTGAGAGACACTGAAGCATTTTTTCCCCTCACAAAATCCTTTCTAAAGCCAAAGCTGAGAACTGGAGATGGGAAGTGCCAAAATGTTCAGCTGGGAAGAAGTGGTGGCTGCTCCAGAAAAACTGTGGAAAGAGAGGCTCTCAGCCTCAGCCTGCTTCTCCAAGTCTGTAGACAGCATTCCTGGAAGAGCAGCATGCAAGGCTGTAGTTGTCCTCACCTGCTAGTGCAGCTTCTGGCCCCTAAACTATGAATCCTCCATGATCCAAATGGCCCTTAACTCCATTGTATCAGCAAAGAAGCTACTGGCTGTGCCTGACCACAGTTTGCCATTTCTCCTCAAGCTCGCAAGATAGGTGAAACCCCTCTGCTCTGCTCCCGATACTCAGAGGGCCAGAGACAGGATACTTTGACTGTACTACATGGGCCTGTCCCAGAGGACCTGTCTAGGTCTTCCTCTTTGGGGAGCTGGAGGATTTGGGCAGGAGCTGTGGGCTGGGGGCAGTGGAGCAAGAGGGCAACAACACAGAAAGCACTTTGGGGGAAGCAGAGGGGAGCAGGCCGGGACAAGGGCTCAAGGAGCTGTGGCATGGTGATTTCCACTGAGGGAAAGGAGAAATGTTGTAGAGGGCAGCTGGCACTGCCTCCTGCTCTTGGGGACCCACACACTCCCTTGTGGCCGTGAGTGCTGGCAGGGGGCGGAGGTGGCACAGCGGGTGGATCTGTTGGGGGTGGTGGTTATGGGGCGGGGTGTGTGGCTGTTGGGGGCTGTCCCCAGCACACCGTGCCCAGCAGGGCCGCAGCCATCCCCGGCTTGCCCTGGCCAACGCTGCTCCCGGCGGGGCTACGAGCTCACCCCGGCGCCCTCTGCGGAGGCCACGGCCGCTGTCCGCGGTGCTGACCGGCCGCTGTCCGCGGTGCTGACCGTCCCCGCTCCGCCCGGCGCTGCCCCCGCCCGGCCCGGCGGTGCCGGTGTGGCGCTCGGCGGGGCCCGGCGCGCTCCCCGCGCTCTCGGCGGCGGCGAGGGCGGGGGCGGGCCCTCCCTGCGCCGGGAGCGCGCTCCCGCCTCCCACCCGGCACAAAG